TCGGAGAGAAGCTCTTCTCGCTGGTGGTGGAGATGGATCCACTCCATGCAAATGATATTACAGGTGACGTTAACCTGTAAATACTTTTGTGATTAATCAGTATTTTGTTTTTTCTCTCTGGAGAGTTCTTGTTGATGATGTTGAAATACTGATAACACTCCTACATCCTTGTAGGTATGCTGCTAGAAATGGACCCAGCTACACTCCAGCAGCTGCTCAGTGACCACACAATGCTCCAGATTGCTGTTCAGAAAGCACAAGCAGCACTGGATACTTTAAACTGAGCTTTTCTTTTTTCTTTTTTGCTCCAGCAAAAGCAAAGAAATAAATCAATATCTTTGAAGTAATACGTCCTTCAAGGAGATCTGGAGGGTATACAAGTTGCCTATTTTACAGTATGCCTTTATTATTTTACGTGGACTTTTCTGAGGACCAATGACAAAGTTTTAGTGGACCAGCCGAAAATACACAAAGAACCTACAAAGCATTTCCACTCAGCACAGAACCAACTTATTGTTAGCCATTTCTGACATGGATGCTGTGATCGCTGTTCTCAGATAAATGGACTGAACACGTTCCAGTGTGGCAAATAATAATCTATCAAAGTTGTTGTGCTTGATGATAATGTTTAGAATATGATGATAGTATTTATTTGTAAGTCTCTAAGCATAAATGCTAATCTAAATGTTGCTATTTATGTTTGTTTTTTTTCCTAACCTTAGTCTAGGTCTCAATTGTGTAACTCAGTGATTTTCACTTCCTGTTTTTACCTGTTTTAGAGGAATGACTCCACGGATGGTGGTGGTGTTGGTTGGTTACCTCCTTTTATAGACGGAACTATCTCAGACTAATTATTGATTTGCCATGAAGTTTTGACGTTCATATTTCTCAGAAGATTAATGTTATTACATACCTTCTTCAGTTGTGCATCACTGCCCCTGTTGCATCTCTTGTTCATGTTGATTTGTGGGCCAAAGTGCAATAACTAGCTCGATTTTTCTTTAAGAACACGTCCAAATTTCACCTCACTCTGTGTGTTTGCAGACCTCACCACCTCTTCATACTTCACACTATAGAAAACTCTGTGTACATGTAATATACAACTGCACTCATACTCTCTTTATTTACCCAGTGCATGTACACTGCTTATAAAAATAAAACCTGATCACGGCTTTTGTTGTTGTTCTTGTTGTTTGTTCAGTTCACTTGTGAACACTGCAGTTTTATCAGTAAATCAGTTCACAGAAGAAATCCTATGGTTGAATTCAATTCAACCATAGGACTGAATAAACAAATGCAGCAATATATGACACACTATGTGAGTTACGGCCGGCAATGATCATCAATGCAGCACGGTGGTTAGCACTGTTGCCGCACAGCAAGAAGGTCCTGAGTTCAATTCCAACATCAGGCTGGGGTCTTTCTGTGTGGAGTTTGCATGTTCTCCCCGTGTTTGCGTGGGTTCCCTCCGGGTACTCCGGCTTCCTCCCACCGTCCAAAGACATGCACTTAGTGGGGATAGGTTAATTGGATAACCCAAATTGTCACTAGGTGTGAATGTGCGAATGAAAGTGAATGCGAATGGTTGTCTGTCCCTGTATGTTTTCCCTGCGACAGACTGGCAACCTGTCCAGGGTGTACCCCGCCTCTCGCCCTATGACAGCTGGGATAGGCTCCAGCGCCCCCCGCGACCCTGAAAAAGGATAAGCGGAAGCGGATGGATGAATTCAATTCAGTTCACCAGCCATCACCAGTTAGCCTGTCTGTATCTGGATATTGCACAGGATCTTATTTTGGTCATTCAGAACTACAGTAGGGGGTGTGTCCCATTTGAACCCCAGGAATTCCAGACTATACTTGGCACAGATGTTCTTGTATACTATGCCAGACACTTGGTTATGTCTTCTATGTATGCTCTGCCTGCCAGTATCTTGCACTCTGCTGTTATGTGCTGGACTGTCTCAGGGGCATCTTTGCTCAGCCTGCACCTGGTATGGTAGACCCCATTCTCTCTGGATCTTGTGCTTAGAGTTTGTACCTGTGCTGCCACAATTAGTTCCCCTGTGTTGTCTTTCAGTCCAGCTTTTTCCAACTGCTGTTAGATTATCTGGATGTCAGCCACATCTCAGGACTTGTCTTACCCTCTGCAGGTACTTGGTGGTTTCAGCTTTCCTAGCACCTGTATATGATTCCCATTTGCCTGTGGGATTCCAAGGTACTTGTAGCTGTCCTTGATGTCAGCAATGTTCCCTTCTGGTAGTACAGTTCTAACTAGTTTCCCTGTCTTTGTTAACGTCCGAATACACTTCTCCAGTCTGAATGACATTCAGATGTCATCGCTGTAGATCCTAGTGGTGTGGATCAGGTGTGGTGTGAATCCATGTTTCGTTCACTCCTGGCATACAGCTTGATGTCATCCATGTAGAGGAGGTTGCGTGACAGCTGCTCCATTCCGCAGTCGGTATCTGTAGCCAGTCTTGTTACTGAGGGGGTTCAGGCC